ATGGTGAAATTCAGGTGAGCACGGATGATAGTCCGATGGCTGCTGAGAAACTTGCAAAGCGCATCGCCCTTCATAATATGAAAGCAACTCGTTGGAACCTGGAGGCCCCTGGAATCCCTCTGGAGGTGGTGGGTGACTCGCTCCTCGTGGTTAGCTGGGCTACGGGACGGTGGCGTGCAGATAACAGATCATATGCTGATAGAATATCAAAAATAATCAATACGCTTGATGGGCTTTGTAGCAGCTATAATATACGACCTCCAGCGCCGGGGATGGATCTAATTCGTCATGATTTTCGGGAGTGGAATACTCGAGCCGACGTCCTTACACACCAGGCCCGAGAGGGCCAGATATTTAGTTCAGAATGTAGTCCGTATACACATGATTATGAGACAGAATTTTACGTTGCTGCTGCTATTCGGGCTGGTTTCGATGGCGGCGTGTCGTCTGAGGGATGTGGGTGCGGTTGCTGGATAGACATAGGCCTCAAACCACGGTATTGGGATCGACGGGACCCCGCTCAGCTGATATGGAAGTCAGTTTTTGAGAGGGCTTGGCTTATTTGTCCAACTACAACTGTTACTGATACAGAACTCAGTGCTTTGGAGTGCATCGTGACTGCGCTCCCACAGGCAGCTCTATGGTTACCACAGACTTGATAGTTGCAGTTTTCTCAATTCGTTGTTTCTTTCTCTTACTATGATATACTCAGCTTCGCTGGGAGTTCTCTTTTCTCTTGCATGTTTAGTTGACTGCATTTTGATTCATTTCTGTGTGCGTTTGCTCGTTCGCTCATATTTGTGATTGATGATTCATCGCAGCTTCGCTGCTCTGGGTTGTCTTGACTTTATGTTCGAATAAGAGCTTTCGCTTCCTGAAGACACCTGACCTCGTGCTTGCTCGTGGCCCTAGGGCCAGTAGGAGCCTCGCAAAGCCGCAAAAACCAAGGTTGACGGTTTACCGCCGGCGCCCAGTTGGCAAGAACAATCTCGACGGACCTTTTGCTGACTTTTGCTCGGTTAAAAATTATGTTCTCGGAATTCAACAATAACTCGTAGAGCTTCCCTTAGCTAGTTGCTGGAAGCTTAAGAGTAATTCCGGCGCGCTGGCGAGCTAGCTGGCAAGACAAATCTCGACGGACCTATTGATGACTTTTGCCCAGTTGAAAAAGTATGTTCTCGAAATTCAACAATGCGTTAGAGCTCTAGTATGCTTTCCCGTGGTATTCGATCTTATTCCCGCTCGCCGTCTTAATCTCAGCTCGATCGGTTACCTATTACTGCCAAAAAGCGTGTGGGCGGGATCGGCTGTTTCGAGTCATCTTCGCAGCTGCTGTCGGTTTTCTGTACTTAACTCGAGCTGTAGGAGAGCTACAGAGCTGGTGCGCACGCGTAATCGATTCAGAATCATCAGACGCGTTCGTCTGAAGCATCTAGAGGTCTGAACTCGGTCTGCTACTCGAGCTAAGTCCGCGAAACCATTGGCTGTTTCGAGTTATCTTGACAGGTGCTGTCGGTTTTCTGTACTTAACTCGAGCTGTAGGAGAGCTACAGAGCTGGTACGCACACGTAATTGATTCAGAATCATCAGGCGCGTTCGTCTGAAGCATCCAGAGGTCTGAACTCGGTCTGCTACTCGAGCTAGGTCTGCAAAACTATTAGCTGTTTCGAGTCATCTTGACAGGTGTTGTCGGTTTTCTGTACTTAACTCGAGCTGTAGGAGAGCTACAGAGCTGGTCCGAGCTGCAGATGAGCTACAGATGCTAGGTCCGCGAAACTATTCGTACTCTTTTTTTTGGGAGATGATGATGAGTTTCTTGCCTTAACTCGAGCCTCAGATGAGCTAAAGGGCTCTTCGACACAGCAATCGGAAGGCAGTGCTCAGGCGCGCTAGTCTAAAGTATCTAGACGCCCGAACTGAGTCTGCTATCCGCACTGGAACCGAACAACTATTCGTACTCTTTTTTTTTCGGGAGATCGTGATGATTTTCTTGACTTAACTCGAGCTGCAGAGGAGCTACAGAGCTGTTCGGCTCAGCAATCGGAAGGGAACCATCAGGCGCGATAGTTCTAAGTATCCAGACGCCTGAAATCAGTTTGCTATCAGCGCTGGGACTGAACAGCTATCGGTTTTCTGTACTTAACTCGAGCTGTAGGAGAGCTACAGAGCTGGTACGCACACGTAATCAATCCAGAATCATCCGGCGCGTTCGTCTGAAGCATCTAGGAGGTCTGAACTCGGTCTGCTACTCGAGCTAGGTCCGCGAAACTATTCGTATTCGATCGATTTTATGGTGGGTTTCATGACTTACTCGAGCCTCAGATGAGCTAGAGGGCTCTTCGGCACAGTAATCTGGAGATAATCATCAGGCGCGCTAGTCTAGAGTATCTAGACGCCCGAACTCGGTCTGCTTTCAGCACTCGAGCCGAACAACTATTCGTACTCTGGGAATTTTCGGAGATGGTGATGGTTTTATTGATTTAACTCGAGCTGCAGATGAGCTACAGAGGTGTTCGCCTGAGCAATCGGCCGGGGTTCATGGAGCGCGATAGTTCTAAGTATCTAGACGACTGGAATCGGTCTGCTATCGGCGCTGGGGCTGCAAAGTTTTTTTTTTTTTTTTTTTTTTTTTTTTTTTTTTTTTTTTTTTTTTTTTTTTTTTTTTTTTTTTTTATATATATATATATATTATATATAATATATATATATATTATAATATATATTATTTTAAAATATTTTATTTTAAAACAATATATGATGATGATTTTCTTGACTTCACTCGAGCTGATGGGCTACAGCTATTCGGCACAGCAATCGGGATGAAATCATCTGGCGCGCTACTAGACACCTGAACTTGGTCTGCTATCAGCGCAGAAACCGAAGCACTATTCATGCAAGTTTTTTTTTTTTTTTTTGCTGTGTTGTTTGTTTTTTGTTTTTGTGTGTGTGTGTTCCCCCCCGATGCTTTTCTTTACTTAACTCGAGCTGCAGATGGGCTAAAGAGCTGTTTGGCACAGCAATCGGAGGGTAAATAATAAGGCGCGCTAGTCTAAAGTATGTAGACACCCGAACTCGGTCTGTTATCAGCTCTCGAGCCGAAAGACTATTCTTACTCTGCGAATTTTTTGGAGATGGACTTGGTTTTCTTGACTTAACTCGAGCTGCAGATGAGCTCCAGAGCTCTTAGGCAGAGCAATCGGAAGAACATCATCAGGCGCGCTATTTGAAAGTATCCAGACGCCCGAAATCAGTCTGCTATCAGTGCTCAGGCTGAAACACTGTTCGTACTCTGCTAATTTCTTGGCGATGGTATTGGTTTTCTCGACTTAACTCGCGCTGGTTAGAAATATCTATGCGCGTGAACTCAGTCTGCTATCAGCGCTGGGGCTGAACAACTATTCGTACTCTGCTAATTCTTTGGAGATGGTATTGGTTTTTCATGATTGAACTCGAGCTGCAGAGGAGCAAGGAAGCTCTACGAGTCTCCCGGCGGTAACCAAGATTCACGGTGGACCGCCGGCGCCCAGTTCGTTAGAGCTCTAATATTTCCCCCGTGATATTCGATCTTATTCCCGCTCGCCGTCTGAATCTCAGCTCGACCGGGTAGCTACTACTGCCAAAAAGCGTCTGGGCGGAATCGGCCGTTTCGAGTCATCTTGAGAAGTGCTGTCGGTTTTCTGTACTTAACTCGAGCTGTAGGAGAGCTACAGAGCTGGTGCGCACACGTAATCGATTCAGAATCATCAGGCGCGTTCGTCTGGAGCATCTAGAGGTCTGAAATCGGTCTGCTACTCGAGCTAGGTCTGGGAAGCTATTCGTACACTACCGATTTTTTCGACATGTGCTGTCGGTATTCTGAACTTAACTCGAGCTGTAGGAGACCTACAGAGCTGTTGCGCACACGTAATCGATTCGGAATCATCAGGCGTGTTCGTCTGAAGCATCTATAGGTCTGAACTCGGTCTCATAAGCGAGCTATGTCCGCAAAACTATTAGTATTCTACTGTTTCTCTTGACATGCGCTGTTGGTTTTCTGTACTTAACTCGAGCTGCAGGAGAGCTACAGAGCTGTTACGCACACATTCAGTATCATCAGACGCGTTAGTCTGAAGCATCCAGAGGTCTGCACTCGGTCTGCTTCTCGAGCTGGGTTCGCCAAGGTATTCGTAAACTACCGATTTTTTCGAGATGATGATGCGTTTCTCCACTTAACTCGAGCTGCAGATGTGCTAGAAGAAACACATCAGGCGCGCTAGTCTGAAGAATCTAGACGCTTGGATTGGGTCTGTTATCAGCGGAAACAAGTAGTCATACTCTGCTATTGTTCTGGTGATGGAGTTGGTTTTCTTGACTTAACTCGAGCTGCAGATGGGCTCCAGAGCTCTAAGGCACAGCAATCGGAAGATAATCATCAGGCGCGCTATTTGAAAGTATCTAAGCGGCTGATCTCAGTCTGCGCTCAGCGCTCGGGCTGAACAACTATTTGTACTCTGCTAACTTAGGAGATGGTATTGATTTCCTTGGTTTTCTCGTGCTGCAGATAAGCTACAGCTGTGCAGCACAGCAATGGGAAGGGAATCGTCAGGGGCGCTAGTGAAGTGTATCTACACGCTTGAAATCAGTCGGCTATCAGCGCTCGGGCTGAAAAAGTATTGTTCTCCGCTATTACTTTGGAAACAGTATATGGCAAGGAAGCTCTACGAGTCTCCCGGCGGTAACCAAGCTTGACGGTTTACCGCCGGCGCCCAGTTGGCCCACCCAGCCCAGGCGGACAATGTGGTAACTTTAGGTCGGTTTTGTTAAGATTCGAAAGATATTTGACCATTCATTTTGAGAAAGCAGATTTTTCGCACCTGTAGTGGGTTATGCCGCGTCTGCCAGTGCAATTCTCAGGTCCGTAGCTTCAGTTTTAGTATCAAAACACTTGGAGGAACCGACTTTGGGAAACAAGTTTGAAAAACGTAATTTTTCGAGTTTCCCAGCTGATCCATCCCATGTGTTCCGAGCAGCGCTGCGCGAGAAATGAGCTCTACGAGGCTCCCGGCGGTAACCTGGTTGACGGTTTACCGCTGGATCCCACTACCTCGTAGAGCAGCTCTTCGTTATCGACGAGCTAGAGGAATTCCGGCGCAGGGTGCAGCTAGTACCTCGTAGAGCTCTTCGGCATCGATGAGCTAGAGGAATTCTGGCGCGGGGTGGAGCTAGTACCTCGTAGAGCCCTTCGTTGTCGATGAGCTAGAGGAATTCCGGCGCGGGGTGCAGCTAGTTGGCCCACCCGGCCCGGGCGGACAATGTGACGACTTTGGGTCGGTTTGGCTGAGACTTGAAAGATATCCAACCATTCGTTTTTTTACAAAGCAGGTTTTTTTCGCTGAGCATTTGCACATACGCTTCGTTCTGAGAGCAGTCTAAAGAGGAAATCTTACTATCGGTTGACTTCCGGGAACCGACCTCATATTGACATCAAAAAATGCAAACATGAAGATTTTTAGAATCTCTTCTTCGAATTTCTCTGCTTCGATTCTGAGCACTCTTACCCGTGCGAGGAGCTCTACGAGGTTCCCGGCGAGGAGCTCTACGAGGTTTCTTCAGCAGACGTGGGAATGCAAGTTTCTTCAGCAGATGTTGGCATGCATGTTTCTTCAGCAGATGTTGGAAGGCGCGTTTCTGGGAGTGCTTCAACAGGCGTTGGAATGCAAGTTTCTTCAGGAAATGTTGGATTGCAAGTTTCTTCAGCAGAACCAGATGTTGACATGCATGTTTCTTCAGCAGAGGTTGAAATGCACGTTTTTGGGAGTGCTTCAACAGGCGTTGGAATGCAAGTTTCTTCAGCAGATGTTGGATTGCAAGTTTCTTCAGCAGAACAAGATGTTGGCATGCATGTTTCGTCAGCAGATGTTGGAATGCACGTTTCTGGGAGTGCTTCAACAGACGTGGGAATGCAAGTTTCTTCGTCATATGTTGGATTGCAAGTTTCTTCAGCAGAACAAGATGCGGAGGTTGGAATGCGAGTCTCTTCAGCTGGTAGTGCAACAACTTGCGCGCGAGTGAATCGATCTGATGTTAGGGTGCCAGATAAAATGGAGCAGTTCGATCAGTTCGTAATTGAGGTTGGAGTGCACGGGCGAAGTTACTTGATAGATGACATGCTTCGCATGAGCTTCACGTCACAAAACGTGTTTCGTCTCGCCAGGTGTCTGGGCAGAAAGTTCGGCACTCCAGTTGCCTCTAAGACTCAGTGCCGAAGCTCGGTTACGGGTATCGCCTCAATCACGACATTCTTTTTGGTGTGTTCTATATGTGTACCAGATTGAAAAGATCAGAAATTCACGGTTTCACCAGGCAAAGGGCAACGCGCGATACCGTTGTTGAGGGCATCCTGCAAGACCTCATTGTGGTGCAAGGTGGGCCTAGAACTCTGGGCGAGCATGTTCATGCAAGTTTTTGGAAGGAGGATTTCAGCCAATGGACGTTGCAAGATACGCGCCGAGTTCTCGGTTTAAATTTACTCTGTATTCCGTGTGTAAGCAGTTCTAAGATGGATGTGCAGGAGAAGGAGGTGATGGAAGAGGATGAGGATGACTTGCAGCACAATCAAGCACCTGACGCAATGGTTGATGTTGAAACAGCAGTGGAGCTCGTGCCAACAAACTTGCGGATCAGAAAATATTGCTTTGAACGGCCGATTGTTACGGACAGGCATGCTATTGCCTCCGCCTGGCAACAGTGGCAACGTGGTTTGGATCCCGAGGCGCTCTGTAGCAGTGCTCCAGACAGTAAGCGTCTCATATACACGGACCCCCACACATTCCAAGAGTTGAATATGCTTCAACGTCTTCTGGGCAGTGGCTACTCCCATGCGGATATCTCGTACTTTGAGGGCTGTCTGGTTGCAGCGGGCTGGGATGAGGAGCTCGGTGTAAAATCCGTTTCCTGTATAGAGTCACTTCCGCAGGGATGTGGTGGACGGTGGAGGAGTTGCTGCAAAAATCGGGTCACGGTGTGGCATGCTTTGCAGTGCAGCGAGGTCTGGGATGGTGCTTTCCACGATGAAGAGCTCATGAATGATTTTCTTGAGTCGGTCGTTTCTCGTCTAAGACGTGACGGGGCGAGGATCTGGGAAGACGTTCGGCAAAGTTAGATGCTACTCTCGCTCATTTGTGAATTTGATGGTATTCGCTTCCTGAGCTCAACTTTTGCTTTGATTGTACTCGCTGCATTTGTTACCTTGTACTTCCAGGCCGCTTGCTTTGTACTTGTTGCATTGTCTGCTTGTGCTCTTGTCTTACCGCGGGTTGTTACGACATACTTCGGACTTTGTGTTTGCGTTGACTCTTGCCATGCTGTGTGTGTTTGTCGGGCATGCGCGCGTGTTGGTATAAGAGCTCCGCGTGTTCTTCACTTTGTTCGGAATACGAGTTTTGCATTTGCCCACTCCCGCTCAAAGAGTGGTGGGTGTCTTGCCTGACTCTGGTATGCCGCCCGTTTTCCTGTTGCGTGTATGCCTGTAATTCACTTTGTCTGTTGTGTGTGTGCATACTTCAATTCGCATTTCTTATCTGCATTCTGACCTTTAATCTCTTGTGCATTCTCAGTGGTGTTCTCAGTGCTCATTGACCTTTGAACGTGACTTTCCGTGATTTGTCACGTGGTGCCTCAAAGTAGGCCTTAAATCTAGTCGACACTACACTGCTTTTATTTTCAGTGCTGCTGAGACGGTAATCGCTATGTGTGGTTACTGCATGGTCTCGCACTGCTTTGCTTCCCTCTATTCTATTTTTTATTTGTCGTCTCGTGTATTGGCAGTCTTGTGCATATCTGTGCAGCTTCGCTGTTTGATGCACCTCTGCTTTAATCTTTGCAGCTTCGCTGTCTTCCTGTACAGCTTCGCTGTTTAGGTTCTTTGTGTTTAGGCCTGCTCCCATGGGAGCTCGAACCCGCCTTCGCAAAAGACGCAAAAGACCGGTTTGACGGTTCACCGCCGGCGCCAGTTGGTCGACCCGACCAGAACGGACAATGTGACAACTTTGGGTCGGTTTTGCGAAGATTTGAATGATATTTGACCATTTATTTTGAGAAACCAGATTTGTTAAGCTAAGCATACGCATATAATCTTTGTTCTCAGAACAGCTCAGCTCTCCCGAGAGAGTTTTACCATGGGTTCACATCCCGGAACCGACCTCATATTGACATCGAAAAATGCAAAAATGAAGATTTTAAGAAAATCCGCTGCGAAGTTCCCTGTTTTGATTCTGAGCACTCTAGTGCGTGCAAGGAGCTCTAGGAGGTTCCTGGCGGTGACCAGGTTGACGGTTTACCGCCGGCGCCATTGTCCCACCCGGCCCGGGCGGACAATGTGACGACTTTGGGTGGGTTTTGCTAAGATTTCAAAGATATTTCACCATTTATTTTCAGAAACCAAATATTTTCGCTAAGCATTCGCATATAAGCTTCGTTCTGAGAGCGGCTCAGCTCTCCCGAGGGAGTTCTACTATCGGCTCACTTCCGGGAACCGATCTCATATTAACATCAAACAATGTCAAAATGCAGATTTTTTTTAAAGCAAAATCTTCTGCAGTTTCTCTCCTTGAGCTCGGAACACTATCGCGTGCAAGGAGCTCTACGAGGTTGCCGGCGAATTCCGGCGCGGGGGGGAGCTAGTTGGTCGACCCGACCAGAAAAGAAGATGTGGTAACTTTTGGTCGGGTTTGCTAAGATTTGAAAGATATTTGACCATTTATTTTGAGAAACCAGATTTTTACGTCCAGCATTAGTGTCTAAACTTCATTCTCAGAGATAATCAGCTCTCTAGAGAGAGTTTTACTATCAAAAAATTAGCGGGAACCGACATCAGATTGACACCGAAAAATGAGAATTTCACGTTTTTCTGGAAATGCTCCGAGAAGCTGTCTGCTCCGGTTATGAGCACTTTTCTGCATGCAAAGAGCGCTACGAGGTTCCTGGCGGTGACCAGGTTGACGGTTTACCGCCGGCGCCAGTTGTGAGAGATTTGAAAATTCGTTTCGAGGAACGGTATTTTTCGCACCTGTAGCGGTTATGCCGCGCTCGCCAGTTGAATCCTCGTGTCCGTAGCTGCAGTATCACTATCAAAACACTTGAAGCAACCGACTCTGGATAAAAACCGAAAATCGTATTTTCGATTTTTTCAGCTCACGCTGAGACAGCTTCCTCCATGTGTTCCGAGCAGCGCCGTTTCAAGAACCGGTTTTTGTAGTGGGTTATGCTGCGTCCGCCAGTGAAATTCTGAGGTAGCTGCAGTATTACTCAAAACACTTGACGCAACCGACTTTGGATAAAAACCAAAAACGAGTTTTTCAGCTTACGCTTGAAAAAACTTCCTCCATGTGTTCTGGGCAGCGCCGTGCGAGAAAAGAGCTCTGCGGTAACCGGGTTGACGGTTTACCGCCGGCTCCCAGTTTTCGTATTCTTCTCATTTTCTTCAGAGGTGATGATGCATTTCTGACTTCACTCGAGCTTCAGAGAGGCTACAAAACTAATCGAAAGCCTATTATCGGGTGCGCTACTCAAAATTATATAGATGCCTGAATTCGGTAGGCCACCAGAGCTGGGTCGGAAAAACTATTCGTACTCTGTTCTATAATGAGAATTGCTGGTCTGAAGCATCGAGATGCCTGCATTCGGTCTGCTACCAGAGCTGGCTCCCAGAAACTATTCGTACTCTGCTAGTTTTTTTAGAGAGATAATGGTGGTTCTCTTCAGATTTCTGGAGCTGCAGGTGAGCTGCAGAGTTCTTCGGTGCAGCAATCGTAAAGAAATCACAGATATCCAGATGGCCGAACTTGGCACGCTTCCTGTTTCAGTTGCTTTTCCTTTGCTATTACTGCGAGCCGGCGGTAAACCGTCAGTCTTGGTTACCGCCGGGAACGCGTAGAGCTGCAATGCGTGTGCAGCAATCGCATTCTGCGCGCGCGAGGGCGCGGTTTCATGGAGGAGTACTGGAGGAGAAGAAGGAGTGAGGAGAAAGGAGATGCAGCAGGGTGAGGAAGAGAAGAAGTAGGAGGAGCAGGAGCAGGAGAAAGAGAAGAAGAGGGAGAATCAAGAAAGGCATTGTAATCTCTGCAAACTGTAGAGTACGAATGTCTTCTGGTTCTAACTAAGGCACAGAGAAAGGCAAGTGTAGATATAGAAGTTGGTGTAGCTCTAGTGTCGCCTATGGGGTCGAGACGGCTCAGATATGGTTTCTGCCTCATTATGCTCCTTTTCCATCCCCGATTCCTTCTTATTCGTCTCGCCTCCTCCTCTGTCTTCGCCTCTTCCTTGCCCACTTCTTCTTCTTCTTCTTTTTTCTTTTGTTTCTTCCTTTATCCTTGTTTCCCTCTTCTTCTCTGCCTCTACCTTCTGCTCCTGCTGCCCTTTGTCCTTCTCCTGCTCCTCTTCCTCCTGCTTCGCGTGCTCCTCGTGCTCGGCCTCGTTTGGAGAGCCACGCCTGATGCTCGAGGGTAGTCTGCACTATAAAATGACCGGATGGTTTCTTCACTTGCTACTGCGACAAGATCATCTTATCGCTGCTAAGCGATCTTCTCCTTCCCTGCTTGCCTCTTCTCACCGTGGCTTTCACCGAGGCGTGACATCCTCTACTCTGCCTGAAGCGACGCCGCGGAGGCCTCGAATCCGAGGATCCTCGACCACCACGCAAACGCAAACGCAAACCATGACGGTTTACCGCCGGCTTTCAGTAATTCGAACGTGCTGGCGGGCTAGTTGGATCGAAAAATCTCGACGGAAGTTTTGTTCGGTCGGTTGAAAATTATGTTCTCGAAATTTCAGCAATTCGTTGGACCTCTTCTTTTTCACCCATCTTCGACTCTTATTCGCTCGCCATCTGAATCTTTTCAGATGCTCTCGGCTTTCTTAACTTAACTCGAGATGAGCTACAGAACTGTTTGGCACAGCAATCGACAGTACATGATCAGGAGCTCGCGTCGAAAGTATCCAGGCGGCTCAGATCGGTCTGCTACCAGAGCTGACCAACAAATCTACTCGTACTCTGCTAGTTTTCTAAGGATGAGATCATAGTTTTCTCAACTTGTTTCGAGCTGTACGCTGGCTACAGAGCTGGGCAACGCACCTAGAATGGCAATAATCAGACACATTCGCCGACAGTAACGAGGCGTCTCAAATCAGCCTTCGACCAGAGCTGCGACCGAACAAAAAATCGATCCAGGCGCTCCAAACAAGGGCCCAGACAATAATTGTTTGCCGAATACTCTTATTTCCTCCAACTAGGCCAACACATCACTTCTTCTCATGTGCAGCTCTCCAAGCGAGGCCGCAGAACAGTCTGCTTTCCTTCTTACTCACTACACCGATATGGTTCTCCTTAGAAGCCGATATGGTTCTTACTCACTACACGATATCAGTGCACAATTCCATCAATATCAAACAAAGGTGGCTCTCTAAACGAAGCCAACATCTCATTTCTCATTCCTGCATCCTCAGGTGCGGCTCTCCAAACAAGGCCGCTACACAGTCTGTATTCATTCTTTCCTCGATCCACCAATATGGCTCTCCAAACGAGGCCTAAAACACTATCAATATGAATGCACAGTAGCAATAGCAATCTCAAAACATGCTCTCTTGGTCCTGCCGAGCCAGGATGGCTGGGGCATAAGCTGTACGTTTTCACAATACCGTAGGCACGATAATATTGAGGTGACATACGCTGATGGCATGCCAATTGCCACATTATCCCGGACATATATTACTCATGATCACAGCATGACGCATCGATCAGAGGAGATATCACATATCTGTCTCATCAGAGTCGCAAGTGACGATATCTTGAGCTCTCTGATGTCTTGAGCTCCCTCTGCATGCCAAGAAGGGAAGATATAATGCTTGTGTGCGCTCCCGTATACTGTTTGGTTTGGAAGGTGCCTCATTGGGTGCCTCGGTTCTGCGTTATCTGCGCGCGGAAGAGGGTAAGTTCCTAGCTTGGGTGGTCTGGCGGAACAAACGTAGGGATGAATCATGGCCCCTGATTCTACAGCGATTCTACTATCGTGGCAGACAGGCCCTTTGTAGGAGGAGCGCCCATCCTTGGTACAGTTGGCCCTTTTCTGTCAATGGCGCTGGGCCAAAGATGTCGCCCTCACATGTTTCTCCTCACCTGAACCTCTTCAGCTTCCTAGCAGTGAGTCTCAGCAGCTTCATGGGTACCCTCTATCTCGGTGACGGGGGGCTCTCAATCGTTCGTGGATATTGAGACTTGGGTTTGGTAGGAAAAGAAAGCAAAGTCGTCGGAATTATATTGTGGAGATGAGGAAGCACGTTAGAGGACAACTATCTCACAATACGTGTCGCATGAGGGCTCGCTGTCAGGCTGCCACACCTGTTCCCCTTGGAAAAGAGGCGGAATATCATGGCGATTGCACGTGGAGAACTCACGGCTGACATGCACAGCAAATACTTGATGCTTGTTGGGTCTGAACAATGGACTCGTGCTCGGGATGCGGAGACTGCGTGGGCTGGATCGCAACGGGCTAAAGACATTACCCGTCGAAGAGGCCAGTTGGTCTGCCAGGCTGGAATCACTCCTTGGGTTGCCCTGTTTGAAAAAAAACTGGTGGCGAGAGGTGGTGGGGGCAGCTCTCCTGGGCTGAACATGGGTGGCTTGCTTTCGTGCGCTCTGTGCTTGAGACGTTGCAGATCTCTGAGCTGTTACAGTACTGTGCTCTTCAAGTGCCAGGTGTTGTCAGGGCGGGAGGTGAGGAAGAGGGGGGGGCTTTCTCAGAGGAGGTGACCCGCAAGGAGGAGGAAAGGATGGCGTTGGTAATGGATCTTATTCAACGGGATCAGACGGAGTGGGAGCTGGTGCCTAGTTGTGTAGCAGTTGAGCTGCTTCTCGACTGGAGGGCGCAGCTCATCCGTTGCCTCGCCGTCTCCTGTGGTTGCATGTGGTCGGGGTTGGGGGGGGTGCCCGCGTTTGGTGACTAGCGCCAGTGGTCGAGCTGGCGTCGGTCATGTCGATGTCCCCGTTCCTGATTCCAGCCA